CATAAGAAGAGTAATAATATTGTCTATTTAAAAAATATAATTACATGATCATTATTTATTATGGTAACGATTTTAAAAATATGCTAATCCATCAATAAGATTCGGGGCAATGTGCAAACTACAAAAAGCATAATTTTAAAAAAGCCGGTAACACTGCATTTGTAACGAGTTGAACATGAAATATAATTGAATAATACGTGAATAGAGAAAAATTTAATGAATGCAAATAGCAATATAAAATCAATCATATGACAAAGATTATTCGAACAAGTCATGGCAAGTTCCAAAGACATCATGGCAAAGGTCAGAATATAGCATTGTCGTGGTAAGAATGCAAATAACTGAATAGTTTATACATTGAAACAATTGAATTATATATATATATATATATATATATAATATTCATATATTTTTACTTCATATTAACTCTTGAAAAATTTAGTGATAATTAATTTATAAAAGCCACTGATTTATGATATGGGTGACAAATATTTTGAGTGTCAAAATTTACAAATCAGGGGAAGGAATTATCTATATATCATTTTGCATGACAAATTGAAAAAAACACATACAATCCTAAATTTGCACCTTTTTATCAGAGAACACTATTTTGTAATAAATGGTTTCGTTACCACTTACAATATAATATGAACTTCTAGAATGGTATATATAATAGTCGTTGCCAAGTACCTTAAATATTTATTAATATCAATTACTCTGTTTTCTAACCTGGTTATTAGAAGCCAATCTTTTCCACCGATGTTTTTTTTCGATCCATTCTGATAGATCATATAAATTGTCATGTATTCTCCCAAAGATCATCAGCTTCCACTTTCTGATTTCTGAAGATTTAACCAACTTTCTGTTGTCTTGATCTTAACATTTCTGAAGGATATCCTTCACGGGTAGCTCCAGTAGTCATTTCTTAAAATTTAAAAATTATAACAATATTATAAACACCTGCCCTTGGAAAAATGGTTTCAAATATAACTTTGTTCGACAACTAAATTATTATCATGTAAAATGATAATGAGAAAGTTTACAAACCAATTTTATGTGAAACCAATAGTTATTTGAATGACTATAAACTATGAAATAGATAATTATAAACAACCTGCTCTTGATTGTCCCAAGCAGAATTAATCCAAGTATAGCACTCCTCAGTAATTAAACTTTTTCATATGTGATAAATATGACTAAAGTTTACAAAATTAATAATTACTAAAACTATTAATAATTATGAACACTAAAATGTAGATAACTGTACACAACCTGCTCTTGATCGTTTGAAGCAAAATGCTCACTTCACTATTTATAAGCACTTTTACTCTTATTACTGAATGATCAATAAAATAATATCGATCATTCAAAATATTTAGTATTATTACGTATTTTATTTTATTTTGGTTTATTTATTTAAATATTTTTAAAATTGATTAAATAATTCACCAATGACCCTTGTTAGCTTCTCGTCGACAAGTGGACGTATGATGTATGTTTCAGTCTGATATCTAATTAAATGCGATTTGATGATAATAGTTTTATACTGAAGCTTAGTAGTGTTGTGTGTTCTTTATATCAATTTGAACTTGTACATTCATTCAAGTAAAATAAAAATATCTATATATTTGTTTATATTATAAATAGAAACAGTTAACTGAGTCTTTCTTTGGGGGGTAGTATTAAATTGGAACACTTTTTGGGAGCACCGTATTTTAGTAATTAAATACTATTTATTTCTAATAACTTTTAAACTCTGGTTTAATGAAAAATCAGTATGACACAAGTGTATAAATTATGAACTATACATTATAAACAAATTACCAGATCATTAGATATTAGAAATAATGAGACAACCTGGTTTGCCGCCGCTGGGTAATCAAACTGGTAATTGCCCATTTATTTACTAGTCGTCAAAAACAATGTGATTATTATAAAATAGCATTTTATTTTAAAAACATTCTTCAATGATTTTTATAGAAAGCAACATTTTCAGTTATCATTTTATTGGCAGTACAATTGATTTTTAACACAAAAAATATTTTTTAAATTTCCAAGTAAAAGTTTTCCCTTTAAAGTCTTCTAAGGACTTAAAAGTATTAGAATCAAATTGCATTATTTCAGTCAAAATGTTAATTTAAGCATTGTATTAAACATTAAATATTTGTTAATCATTGCAATTGAATGGAGGATTTTTACATGCACCAGATGTAGTGATTGTTGCAATTGTTATAAAACAACATTTAATTATAAAAGTATTTTACTTCCTTAACGTTTATAAAGTCAATTAGTCAAATTTTATAGGGAACAAAAATTTTTCATTTTTTTGCATTTTGGTGTTAATAGCGCAATTTTTAAAAGTGCAAATAACGTTTTTAAATGATCCTATGCTATAGTAGCCCTGGACAAATACAATAAATTATTAATATTAAAAAATAACATTGAATTATAAAAATATTATTTAGTTAACGATTACGTTTTCAATGTGTTTTAGGAATTTTTCAAATAATTATTTGCAAAAAAAAAAGCAACTGTATTAATTTTGATTTGCCTCAGGTGTATTCCAGGTGCGTTCCAAACATTTTGACTCTACATATGAGAAGTGTTTTATACAGCAACACTATTGATAAAGATAACTGTTATAAAACAATAATTAATTTAAAAAAACATTATTTCCTCAATAATTACAAAGAAAATTAGTCACCTTTTAGGAGACCTTAGAATTTAACACTGTTTTTCTACATGATGTACCCTGAGATAAATTTAGACTTGTTTTGTTGATATTTCCGATGAACAAACCTCATCTCTCATAATTAATTTATTTATAAAAAAAATATTTTATTTTATTTATTCTCTCAATAATTAAAACATCTTTGATATTTAAGTAAGTCCATTTTAGAATTGTAAATTATAAATTGACAACTTATATTAAAACATAAGTTTGTGTCAGTCTTCGTTAAGTGGAATAATAATTTACAATTTTGCGAATAGATGGTAAATAAATTTAAGAAAACATTTTGCAGTGATAGAAATCAAGACGAATATTCTTTATTTAACTAAAAGATTTGAAATCGAAAACCGTTACAATTGCTTCATTGCCAACTTCACGTCTTACGAGAATTATTATGAAGTGTGTAACAGTAATCAGCATGTGTCAACTGTCAGTGAAATTATAGGTTATGTTATTTAAAATGTTTTAATGTCATACAAAACATAAGTTATTTAAGTCTAATTTATAATGATTTTAAGAAAATTTAGGACTTAACACATTAGTATTCAAAAATTCAGTTATTTAGCATTGATCCATAATGATTTTAAAAATATTTAGCATTTGTCAATGCATTCTAGTCACAACAGCAATGTCTCATACACCTGAAATTAATTTCTCGCAAAGTATTATAGATAATGGACATCATAGGTTTGATAAAATTTAAATAAATTGAAAATAATTTAATATATTGTTATAACCATTCTTAATGTTTCAGTAACGTTCTGTATTCATTACAATTTGATTCAAACTCAAACAGCCTCAAAGACCATTGTACGCTCTGCTTACATCAAGTCTTACCGTCCAGTGTTTATGTTAACAGTGATCAACTAAATGAGTTACGAAGACTAAATCAGGTTTAAGCACTGAAATCTATTTGGTGAAACAAACATTTAACTTTCAATCTATGTTTTTGTAGTTATCAGCATGTGCTTTGGAACAAGTGGATATTGAAAAACCTGAGCATTTATCAAAAGAATTAAATGTCTATGTTTATTCATCAATAAATGATGCAATAAGTTTGAATTTGCCAATACATTTGAGATATCATTCTGCAAAAGTCGATGGAGGGTAAATGTTGAAGTATTTAAAATATAAAATATATATTCAGTTAAATCGTTTAAAAAATTAAATTTAAAGAATTGTAATTTTTTTATTGTGTTTATTATTACCTCCAAGTTCTAAGCATGGTCTAATATAGATTTACTTCCAGGTATGAAAAAATTAATATTCCAAAACCTAGTCTATTTATATACTGTAATATTACTACTAAAGAAGATACTAAAAACTATTTACTCCCATGTTCTGCTTGTGATATCAAGCAATGTAATTGGTCTAAGTATTCTTATAATGAGGTAAGTTGAATATGATATTTAAAAAAAATGTGATTGTTATTCGTAAATAATTTTGAATTTCAATATAGATAACACATTCTCCAAATGTATTGAAAATGCCAGTTGGAAATCTGCAGCACTATTATATTGTTCTCATAATTACTTTATTGACGACCTGTTTAGGCTGCGTCTATATATCTACATTAGTTTTAAGAACATGTAGTAATAATAAAAATAATATAAAATCAAAGAAAAAATAAATATATATGAAGAATAATATATATTTGTTGTTAAATATTGTAATGTTTTGATATTTTTGATTTATATATGCATTTATAAATTTCCACACTATACGATATGTGTGATCATTCAGCTAATTAACATGTTAAAAATACAAAAATTCAAAACATTTTTTTATAAACAAGAATATAATATAATGTATAAATGACTAATAGAGATATAGTTTGTCTCATGATAAAAGGCATCCTGTTATCATGATTAAAGAATTAAAAATGCCTTTGAATATAATATATATAGTAATCATACATTACTTGTTTATTTAATCATTCACTCAACCTGAACGTTTTCCATGCATTTTTCTTTATTGTAATCATTTTTATAAGGATAAATTAAGCAGACTTTGATTCTAAATATGAAATAAAAAAATATTATAATTTATATGTAATAAAAAAAAAAGTTAGATAAACATGCTAGTTTTGTTTTAAATAAAAACTGAAAGAGTAAGTAAATTTGAGCATAATTTAATGAATGCATAAGTTTCGACTTCATTGTGGTTAAGTATTTAAAAGTATATAAAAAAATTTAAAAGAATTGTAGATCACAGTTAATACAATTACAGAATAAAAAAATTATTACTAAAGGTACTGAAAAAAAGATATCTTAATTAAGTTTTAATGTCTTGTAAGCATCATATGTATTTCTAGATCGTTAAATTAAAATAAAAATTATCAAAAATAGAGAGAAAAAGTAATTAGTAATTAATATAATATTTTCTATCAAAATTTTTTCCTAAATTAAATTTTAAAAATGTCCCGCGCAAAATCTGTGACGCTATTGGTCAGTGTTTTGTTGTATACAGTTGTGTACGCACACATCGCACATGGCAACATTATTTCGGTTCGTTTGTGTGTATGATGCCTTTGGGAAGGGGCGAGGGGTCCAAAACCGCTAGCTAGAGTACAAACTAGACAATTGGAAGAAAGGAAGTGAATGATCTATCATTAATTTTTTGTGATTTGTGATAAAAATTAATTTATATGTATTTATGGAAATAGTGTAGTGATTAATAAACACAAGTTTAATCTTAAAAAGACGATATGGCTTCAGAAGATGAAGTAGATGAACCATTTGCCGGTAATTTACTTTTGTTTGTGTTCATGTAAAATAAAGAGCAAGCCGACCGCTTGCAAGTGATGCATACATTTTTTTTGGGAAAAAATGTTTTTATGAAAGTTTTTAACATTTTGCAAAATGCTAATTGTGAAAATCTTGTTATTTGCGGTTGATTGTGTTGTATATTGAGAGATTTTTTTAATTTGTGATAAATAAAAACATTTAAAATAATGGAAGGGGGGAATTGGTTTTCATAATTTTTGTGACAGCGCATTCTCATCTTATCCTTAACAAAATGGAGGTCGTCAAAGAATTTGCACGAATGCGCTAAAACTCCTCATTAAAATTTTTATTTGATTCTAATCAATTTTTGAAATATTAAGGTTATAATATTTTTACAACTTTGATTTTCTTGTCAGTTTTTTATGATTGACTTATATCTTGATCTACTTTTCACATGTAATTCATTTTTATCTTATTATATTTATTTGTAAACAAAAAAATAGCTTAATAATAAATATTAAAATATAAAACAGCCAAATTTTTTTATCACATTGTTTTATTATTTAGGAGATGATGATGTATGTGATGAAACTGGTGATGGACAAGTATTAGAAAATTCTGGTGATTCTGATGATGGTCAACAGAAAGGTGTTGTTGGAGTAAGTTTTTTTTATAATAATTCCAATATCAGTGGCATAATTTGTTTTTAGTGTAAAATAACAGATTTGCAATTCAAGTATCTTTAGTTCTTATATCAAATGTTTCATATTTTAATAACAAGTTCTTGGCTTCATATTATTCTGAAACCTTATATAAATATTAATATAATTAACAAATTTTATTAGGAAGATGATGATGATTATGAGCCAGAAGATGGACGCAAGAAGAAAAAGGGTAAGAAAAGAAAAGCTCGAGGTGAAGAGAAAAAAGGAAAGAAAAAGAAGAAAAAGAAAAAGGCTGATAGTGAGGAAGCTGTAAGTTTCTTATATGAATGTCGTTACATCATGCCATTTCTTTACCCTTGAATGCTCGTTTTTTTTTTTTTTTTAAGAAATTATTCGACACAAGAATCTTATATGGTTTTTAAATACTTCATAAGAGTTAATACTTTAAATTCCTTTAAAACTTGCATGCATTAAATCTAGATTATGGAACTTGCGATATGATATTTTGTGATTTTAATATATTGCAATGAAATCTTTTGTTGACCAAAATTCTGATTAATCTAATTAAAATCAATGTTACTATCAATTTCTATTCATATCAGTTGGAATCATGTTTGAACTTCATGATTTGAAATAACTGAATCTTGTATATAATAAATATATATAAGCCCATGCTTGGTGATAATTTGATCTCATGTGATGTTTGAAATATGAAGTCTGCTATAGCAAAAGGCTTCAAAGAAATTTTTGCAATTTCATAAGTGCCACTATATGAAAGTATATATGAATATAAGTATCTCATGTGTATCAATCTTGATCATTTATAATATCAAAATCAAAACAATTTATGCAATATCTTAAATACTTATTTAGGAAAGTGACTTCATTGGAGAAGAAGACACTAATGGAGGTTGTGACTCAGATTATGCTAATAAAAAGAATAGTAGGAAATCTCGAGGTAGTGTGAAATCTACCCCAACTCCAACACCCACATCAGATAATGCAGGTGTGTATTCTTACAATTCCATGAAAACATGCTGTTTTATGAAAATTTCACTGTGACTGCTATTTTCAGGCATGCCTACTATAGAGGAAGTTTGTTCAACTTTTGGATTGACTGATGTAAATGTAGAATATTCAGAAGCAGATTACCAAAATTTGAGCAACTATAAGCTGTTTCAACAACATGTTAGGCCTATGCTTACAAAAGAAAATCCAAAGGTAAATAAGTTTCTCAAATTGGTTGTAAATAAAGTATATGAATATGAGTTAAAGAGGCAGAGCCAGTCCATAATTACAATAAATATAATTCAAATATTCTTTAAACTTAATATGTATCTTCCATATATCAGACTTGATATAAAAGATCATGAAAAAATCTATACATTTTGTATTTCATTCTACTTGACTCTAAATATATTAATGTATGTATTAATTTGATCATATTTAAATTGCATTCATTTATCTATTCAAACTTGTTTAAAGTTTGTTGCATAACATTTGCATAATTTGTCAATAACTTTTTTTTTAAATTTGATTGATTGAATTGAATATTACTTCAACAGGTTCCCATGTCTAAACTTATGATGCTAGTCGCTGCAAAATGGAGAGAGTTTTCTGAAAATAACCCTCACACTCAAAATGCTCAATCAGATCAAGAACAATTGTCAGATCAGCCAGCCAGTCCAGCTTATCAAGCCAAGCCAAGCAGGTCTAGGTCAAATAAGGATACATCTTCGAAACAAGATGAAACTTATGATGATGATGATGATGATGAGGATGAAGAAGAGGAAAAGAATAAGAGACGGAAGAGTAGAACTAATGCTGGTAAAAAAAGCACAAAGAAATCTGCTAAAGTTCCAACACTGAAAATCAAATTTGGTAAGAGGAAGCGTGGGAGTTCAGACGAAGACCCAGATGCCAGTGGTGGTGGTTCTGATAGAGATTCTGATGCTGAATTTGAACAAATGCTTCAAGAAGCTGAAGATTCAACAAAGCCTGAGGAGACTGCTGAAGCCCCAGCTGAAGATGCAACAGCTCAACCGCCTGTTCGAAAGAAAGCAAAAACTAAAATTGGAAATAAATCAAAACGAAAGAAAAAGCTTAAAACAACTAACAAATTTCCAGAAGGTGAAGATGGTGAGCAAGAACACCAAGACTACTGTGAAGTTTGTCAGCAGGGTGGTGAAATTATTTTATGTGATACGTGTCCAAGGGCTTACCATCTTGTATGTTTGGAACCGGAATTAGAAGATACTCCTGAAGGTAAATGGTCCTGTCCTCATTGTGAAACAGAAGGAACTGTTGAACAAGATGATGATGAGCATCAAGAATTTTGTAGGGTTTGTAAAGATGGAGGTGAACTATTATGTTGTGATTCTTGTCCTTCGGCCTATCACACATTCTGCTTAAATCCTCCATTGCCAGAAATTCCAGATGGTGACTGGAAATGTCCAAGATGTGGTTGTCCACCTTTACCAGGCAAAGTATCTAAAATATTGACATGGAGATGGAAAGAAATTGTTCAAGATAAACCAAGTGCCGAACCAAGCACTTCTAAGAAAATGCCTAAAACTCCTACAAGACAAAGAGAATTCTTTGTCAAATGGCATGAGCAATCATACTGGCATTGTGAATGGATAACAGAATTGCAACTTGATGTATATCATCCTCTGATGTTCAGATACTATACAAGAAAATATGATATGGAGGAGCCTCCAAAATTAGAGGAACCTCTGGACGAATCTGATAGTAGGTTTAAACGAATACAGAAGAACTTGCAGACTGATGATGATTCACTGGAAGATCGATTCTATAGGTATGGTGTAAAGCCTGAATGGCTCATTGTGCATCGGGTCATAAATCACAGAACTATGAGAGATGGACGAACATTATATTTAGTTAAATGGAGGGAATTATCATATGACCAAGCCACGTGGGAAGAAGATACAGACGAAATTCCGGGACTGAAACAAGCTATTGAATATTATATGGACTTGAGAGCTTCATATAATCAAGATGCTTCAATGCGTAAGGGGAAGAAGAAAGGCAGGACAAAGGAAAAGAAATCTAGGGCAAAAGAACTGACTGATGATGATGATATTAGGACACCGAGGCGTTATACTCCTCCGCCTGACAAACCAACAACAGATCTTAAGAAGAAATATGATGTTCAGCCTCACTTTTTAACAGAAACTGGAATGCAGCTTCACCCTTATCAATTGGAAGGTATCAACTGGTTGAGATATTCTTGGGGTCAGGGTATTGATACAATTTTGGCTGATGAAATGGGTTTGGGAAAAACCATTCAAACTGTAACATTTTTATATTCATTGTATAAAGAAGGACATTGCAAAGGTCCATTTTTGGTTAGTGTTCCATTATCGACCATTATAAATTGGGAAAGAGAATTTGAATTATGGGCACCTGATTTTTATTGTATAACATATGTTGGTGATAAAGATTCCAGGGCTGTTATTAGGGAAAATGAATTATCATTTGAAGAAGGTGCAGTGAGAGGCTCAAGACCATCTAAAATTCGGTCAAGCTCAATTAAATTCAATGTACTTTTAACAAGTTACGAGTTAATTTCAATTGATGCTGCTTGTTTAGGCTCCATTGACTGGGCAGTGTTGGTTGTAGATGAAGCCCACAGATTGAAGAGTAACCAAAGTAAATTTTTCAGACTACTTGCTGGTTATAATATTTCATATAAATTGCTTTTGACTGGAACTCCACTGCAAAATAATTTGGAGGAACTATTTCATTTATTGAATTTCTTGAGTAGGGATAAGTTTAATGATTTATCTGCATTCCAAAATGAATTTGCTGATATTTCCAAAGAAGATCAAGTTAAAAAATTACATGAGATGCTGGGTCCTCACATGTTGCGACGTCTAAAAGCTGATGTACTAAAAAATATGCCAAGCAAGTCAGAGTTCATAGTACGTGTAGAATTATCACCAATGCAAAAGAAATACTATAAATACATTCTAACAAGAAATTATGAAGCGTTGAATCCCAAAGGAGGTGGTCATTCTGTATCTTTGCTCAACGTCATGATGGATCTCAAAAAATGCTGTAACCATCCTTATTTGTTCCCTGCTGCAGCTGAAGAAGCTCCATTGGGTCCTGGTGGAAACTATGAAACATCATCACTCATTAAAGCCGCTGGAAAATTAGTTTTATTATCAAAAATGTTGAAACAGTTGAAAGAGCAAGGCCACAGAGTATTAATATTCTCACAAATGACAAAAATGTTAGATCTTTAGAAGATTATTTAGAAGGTGAAGGTTACAGGTATGAGCGAATAGATGGTGCAATCACCGGTGCTTTGCGTCAAGAAGCTATTGATAGATTTAATGCTCCAGGTGCCCCTCAATTTGTATTTTTACTGTCAACAAGGGCTGGCGGTTTAGGTATTAATTTAGCTACTGCAGATACTGTGATCATTTATGATTCAGATTGGAATCCTCATAATGATATTCAGGCTTTTTCACGAGCTCACAGAATTGGCCAAGCTAATAAAGTTATGATCTATAGATTTGTAACACGTAATAGTGTAGAGGAACGTGTAACACAGGTAGCTAAACGTAAAATGATGTTGACTCACTTAGTTGTGCGCCCTGGTATGGGTGGAAAAGGTGCTAACTTTACAAAACAAGAATTGGATGATATTTTGCGATTTGGTACAGAGGAATTGTTCAAAGAAGATGAAGGAAAAGAAGAAGAAGCTATTCATTATGATGATAAAGCAGTTAGTGAGTTGCTTGATCGTAGCAATCTTGGTATTGAGCAAAAAGAAAGTTGGGCCAATGAATATCTTTCATCATTCAAAGTGGCTTCCTATGCCACAAAAGAAGGTGACAATGAAGAAGAGGTTGATACAGAAATTATTAAGCAAGATGCTGAAAACACTGATCCTGCATATTGGATTAAACTGTTGCGGCATCATTATGAGCAGCATCAGGAAGATATGGGAAGAACACTTGGCAAAGGTAAAAGAGTCAGAAAACAAGTTAACTATAATGATGGAGGTGTCGTGCAAACTGAGTCTCGTGAAGATTCCACATGGCAAGAAAATGTTTCTGATTACAATTCTGATTTCTCAAATGCTACAGACGATGATAAAGAAGATGATGATTTTGATGAAAAGAATGAAGGTGATTTGAGTAGGAGAGCAGAAGGCGAATGGAACGAAAAGAGGAACGTGATAATAGGCCTCTGCCTCCATTATTAGCTAGAGTGGGTGGCAATATTGAAGTATTAGGTTTTAATGCCAGGCAACGTAAATCTTTCCTCAATGCAATTATGCGGTATGGAATGCCTCCCCAGGATGCATTCAATTCACAATGGTTGGTTCGTGATCTGCGTGGAAAATCAGAAAGAAATTTTAAGGCCTATGTATCTCTGTTCATGAGGCATTTATGTGAACCAGGTGCTGATAATGCAGATACTTTTGCTGATGGTGTCCCAAGAGAAGGCCTTAGTAGGCAGCATGTTTTAACAAGAATTGGGGTTATGTCTTTGATCAGAAAAAAGGTACATTTATTTTTTAACATATTATAAACTAGCTAATTTAATTAGATTATTTGATTTTTTGGTACAATGTTTGTATATCAATTTTAATTTACAGGTGCAAGAATTTGAACATATCAATGGTTACTACAGCATGCCTGAGTTAATACGAAAACCTTGTGAGTTAATCAAAACAGCAGTGCCAGGTGCAGCATCTAATGCAGCAACTTCTAGTACAGCAGGAAATGGAAGTGGAGAACTAGAAACACCAAAAAGTGCAGCTACAAGCACAAGCGCTACACCAGCTACAAGTGCAGCTCCAAGTCCAGCCCTACATCAAACACAGAGGTAATATGGCCAAAAAACTTCAACATCATTGAAAACAATTTTTTTTTAATTCTGAAGATACTTTTTCAATTAATAATAATAATTATATGTATAGTTAGTTTTCAATTAATAATAATAATTATATGTATAGTATACAAGTTTATTCGGTTAATTCTTAATAACTTTGATTTTATATATTTGATTTTTTTACTCATTATGATATTATAGGGAGATGAAATGGCAGATGAAACTAAATCCAAGGATATTGATTTTGAAAAGGATTCTGCAACATCTGTTAGTACTCCATCTGAGAAAACTGAAGAAGATACTTCATTGGTGGAACCAGCTTCTCAACCAGATGCTGATAAAAATGAAAAATTGGTTCCATCACCTGATGAATCAGCTTTGAAGGTGGAGGAGAAAAAGGAACCGACAAGCGATGAGTCTTCAGAGAAATCAGGCTGTGCAGAAAAAGATTCTGAAAAAGAGAAAGAGGCAGAGAGTGAGTCCAAGGAAGTAAAAGTTGAAGAAGGATCTGCAGCGGTTAAAGCAGAAGATGTAAAAGAAAAAGTTAAAGCTGAATCTGTGAAAGATGAAACTACAGAAAATGCTGAGGAGAAAATTAAGAAGAAAGAAGATGATGATGATGTTGTTCTTGTTAAAGATGATGATGATAGCAGTGATAAGAAAGAGGTTGGTGTTTTTTCTGTAATTGTTTCTATTTAAAGCTAAATTACTTTGCAAACAAATACACATGCTTCACACACAAGCATATTTATATTTATTATTACCAAATGTATATTAGACTTTATATAATTTTTAATATTCTTTATTTTAGAAGAAAGATGACAAGAATGATGAATTAGTAGAAATACCAAAAAGAAAATTCATGTTCAATATTGCTGATGGAGGTTTCACAGAGTTGCACACTTTATGGTTAAATGAAGAGAAGGCTGCTGCTCCAGGCAGGGAATATGAAATTTGGCACAGGCGACATGACTATTGGTTACTTGCTGGTATTGTTACACATGGTTATGGAAGGTGGCAAGATATTCAGAATGATATCCGGTTTGCCATCATAAATGAACCATTCAAAATGGATGTAGGCAAAGGCAATTTCCTGGAAATTAAAAATAAATTTTTAGCTCGGCGGTTTAAGGTAAATATTTTTAAAGCTTAGGGAGTCAGTTTGGTTATGCAAATTGGTAAAATAATTCATATTTGAATTTTAGCTTTTGGAACAAGCTCTTGTAATTGAAGAGCAGTTACGTCGTGCTGCTTATTTAAATCTCACTCAAGATCCAAATCATCCAGCTATGTCATTGAATGCAAGATTTGCTGAAGTTGAATGCTTGGCAGAATCTCATCAGCATCTTAGCAAAGAGTCTCTTGCTGGAAACAAGCCGGCTAATGCTGTTTTACATAAGGTATTAATTGGTAATATAAAGGCAAAAATGAAACATGTTTTTAATTAATTGGTATTTTTCAGGTATTAAATCAACTTGAGGAGTTGTTGTCAGATATGAAGAGTGATGTATCCCGATTGCCTGCAACTTTGGCTCGAATTCCTCCAGTTGCACAACGATTACAAATGTCTGAAAGATCTATTTTATCTAGATTGGCTGCAACTGCCGCAACGCAGCCAACAGCAGGTTTGTATAGTTGATTTCTGTAGAAAACTCAATCAAAATTGTCATTGTCTGGAAGTCATTTCAATCAATTTCATTATCAATTTTATTTATAGATTTGTAAGCCAAGTATTACTTTATGAGTTAATTGTAAAAAAATAAATGGCATTTGGTATTATATAAGTTTCTAATCTAATTTTTTTTCAGCTCAAGTCATGCCACAATTCCCAGCTGGTTTCCAAGGTGCAAGTATACCAGGATTTGTAGCTGCCGCTGCTAACTTTGGTAACTTTAGGCCTCAGTATTCAGTCCCAGGACAACCATCCAACACAACCTTTACGGGTGATCAAGCTGCAAAAACAAAATGATGTGAAACATAGATTTACTATGCTTTTAAAGGTGGTGATTAATTTAATTATATTTGACATCTATTTTAATTGTATAATTTATTTATGGATCACTAAGGACTTAATTAGTTATTCACATGATGTACTTTAAGATTTTAGACATTATTTAGATCTAATTTTTTGAAACTTAACCAAATGTTTCGACAAATAAAATGTGACTAAATTTCAATTTTAGTAGTTTTAATCAATTGAAATATTTTCTGAATTGTCTTACTTCTTTAGATTTTTAGGAAGATATTTCCCATTCTTTTCTTATCGATAAGAAAGCATTTGATATTGCATATCATCATTTTGCTATAATTATTTTTGATATCATTTTTATGCAATTTTAACAAATCTTGAAGGATCTTTTGACGAAATTTTTTGGTACAAAATTGCAAACACACATGTAAATATGAACTAAATTAAAAAATCAGGTGTTACAAAAATTTAAAAAATATTGATGTAACAACCAATTTTTAGTGGTTTATTTTGCAATCTAATATTGTTTTTTATTGTTGCTTAATATTTTGAAAAATAATTTACAATATAGAAGCTCAACAGTATATAGGGTGAATATAAAATTCAAAAACTTATAAGTAAACTTATATATATATATATATATATATATATATATATAAACCACCTACAAAAATATCCTTAACTCTGTCTTGCAGTTATTTATATTGAATTAGGCGGCATTGAATTAAAAGAAAGATTTATTCATAATAATTCAAATCAAATATCCACTCTACCCTTTTTTTTAAGTTAATATATATTTTTCATATCTCAGTTAGATTATTCAGAACTAGAGTTGGAACAGAAACATCAGAATTATGTAACATCAAGTCGGGGGTTCCACAAGGGAGTGTTTTAGGGCCACTATTATATCTCATTTATACGCACGACATTCCAACTGATAGCAATGTCATAATTGGAACTTTTGCCGATGATACGCTTGTCATGGGAACTCATACAAATGCATCCGTCGCAACGTCAAAAGTTCAACAATATGTCTCCGAAATTGAAAAGTGGCTCAATAAGTGGAAAATTAAAATTAATGAAACAAAATCTAGCCATATAACCTTCACAACAAGAACTCTGGACTGCCCAAGTGTAAAAATAAACAACATAAAAATACCGAAATATGAGAGCGTAAAATACCTAGGGATTCATCTCGATAGAAAGTTAAGCAGGTCAACGCACATCAAAATGAAAAGAAAACAGATGGAGAAAAAGTTCAAAGAGTTGTATTGACTAATTGGCAGGAGTTCAAATGGGAGCTATGAAAACTTTTATATAAAACAATAATTATCCCAATCTGGACATACGGAATTGAGCTATGGGCGTGCGCTAGCAATTCAAATATAAAAAAAATACAAGAGCGCAATCGAAAATTTTAAGATGCATTGTGAACGCACCCTGGTATGTTACAAATGACACCCAATGAGATGATAAAAGAAAGGAGCATAAAATACCACGAAAAACTACCAGGTCACCCTAACAAATATTTAAAAGAATTGAGCGATGAATATCCCACACGTAGATTGAAAAAAAAATGGCCATACGATCTCAAATAAAACGTCAAAAATAAAAAAATAAGTGAGATATCTCATAGGAGATAATCTCTTAATGCATTAACACCAGCATCATATTGTGTTAAAAAATGTATTTTATTTTGATTGACAATAAAACTATGCAAAAAAAATATATATCTCAGTTAGAGGCGCAGTTATGAACACATCGTATTCTGATATTGTCTACGGATTAGAGGTGCTTTTAACTGTGGTGTGCCGAGCCACTCTACCAATATGATTCCGGGTGCCGCCTGAAATATATAACCAGGTTCTGGGGGAGAAGAATTATAACCAAATTTATCTTTTGAACATTTTTATTAACTAGTGGGGTGCATGGCATCGTGCCTTAATTCAAATTGCTAGAACTTCCCATACTGAAATTAAAAATCTTGGTACTGAACCCAAAAAAAAATTACACAAAATATGTATTAAAATTGAGTGTTAAAATCTCTTTAAAATATCTGATAATTTGATGTACATAAGTCCAATGGGTGTAAAATTACTACAATGTTTGTAAACAATACTTCAATGGGAGTAAAAATACTACAATGTTTGTAAAAATACTACAATGGGTGTAAAATTACTACAATATTTGTAAAAATACTTCAATGGGAGTAAAAATACTACAATTTTTGTAAAAATGCTACAATGGGTGTAAAATTACTACAATAATTGTAAAAATACTACAAAGGGTGTAAAATTACTACAATATTTGTAAAAATACTACAATGGGTGTAAAATTACTACAATGTTTGTAAAAATACTAAAATGGGTGTAAAATTACTACAATGTTTGTAAACAATACTACAATGGGTGTAAAATTACTACAATGTTTGTAAAATTACTTCAATGGGAGTAAAAATACTACAATTTTTGTAAAAATGCTACAATGGGTGTAAAATTACTACAATAATTGTAAAAATACTACAATGGGTGTAAAATTACTACAATATTTGTAAAAATACTTCAATGGGAGTAAAAATACTACAATTTTTGTAAAAATGCTACAATGGGTGTAAAATTACTACAATAATTGTAAAAATACTACAATGGGTGTAAAATTACTACAATGTTTGTAAACAATACTTCAATGGAAGTAAAAATACTACAATGTTTGTAAAAATACTACAATGGGTGTAAAATTACTACAATATTTGTAAAAATACTTCAATGGGAGTAAAAATACTACAATTTTTGTAAAAATGCTACAATGGGTGTAAAATTACTACAATAAATGTAAAAATACTACAAAGGGTGTAAAATTACTACAATATTTGTAAAAATACTACAATGGGTGTAAAATTACTACAATGTTTGTAAAAATACTAAAATGGGTGTAAAATTACTACAATGTTTGTAAACAATACTACAATGGGTGTAAAATTACTACAATGTTTGTAAAATTACTTCAATGGGAGTAAAAATACTACAATTTTTGTAAAAATGCTACAATGGGTGTAAAATTACTACAATAATTGTAAAAATACTACAATGGGTGTAAAATTACTACAATATTTGTAAAAATACTTCAATGGGAGTAAAAATACTACAATTTTTGTAAAAATGCTACAATGGGTGTAAAATTACTACAATAATTGTAAAAATACTACAATGGGTGTAAAATTACTACAATATTTGTAAAAATACTACAATGGGTGTAAAATTACTACAATGTTTGTAAAAATACTTCAATGGGTGTAAAATTACTACAATATTTGTAAACAATACTTCAATGGGTGTAAAATTACTACAATGTTTGTAAACAATACTTCAATGGGTGTAAAATTACTACAATGTTTGTAAACAAAACTACAATGGGTGTAAAATTACTACAATGTTTGTAAACAATACTACAATGGGCGTAAAATTACTACAATGGGTGTAAAATTATTCGTTAAGTGCTTCAATGTGGATTGAATTACATTAGCGAGCTTCATTAGATAAATAATTATATTTCAACATTTTTAATAACACGCGTGGCACGCGTGCCGTAGGTTGCCGATGCCTGTTCTAGACAATATAATAGTTAATTAGGAGATTAGGGGTCAATATAATTAGGTGATTTATATGATTATTATATTCATAGATAAAAGAAGAGTATATTTTGCCTAGGGTAATCCTCATCCACCATTATTATATTGTCTAGGCTAGGACATCATCCACCCGCCTGTGGCTGACAAGGCGGGAATGTATTAAGACATCCAGACATCCATTTTTGTTAGGTTATGATCTAAAAGAAACAAATGTTCGAACAAAGTCGTTGTCGAAAGTGAAAACACAAGTGATATTGTGGCAGTTAATAATTAACAAGATAGCGATTATTTTCTGTTTGACTAAAGATCTTGTATACACGTTATCACGAACAATTTTGTTATCTTTTCTCGTGATTCAGATTTAACGCATAACAGGTTTGCGTTTGTTCGTTCAGTTTTGATTGAAAATGGGCGCTCTAAAAATTAGTTTAATTGCAGCAGCTTGTGAAAATATGGGTATAGGAATAAATGGAAATTTACCTTGGAGATTAAAGTGCGTATGATCATATTTACAAATTAGATATAAAGATCTGTTTAATTTAAAACTACTAGTTTTTTTAGCATTATGTTTCTCAATTTTTACTTCAAAGTGTTACTCAAAAAGTATATGTTAGTAAAAATATATATAACAGACAGATTACAAATCATAATTTGCCTTACTATTTACAATAATTTCAATTCATCCAGATTTTTACACTTTAAATTAAACATTTCGACAAATTGAGTGTAAACTATGAGTTTCTTCACATTCAATTGCATCTGAATACAATGATATATATATATATATATATATATATATATATATATATATATGAGTAAGTAAAAAACAAATATTTATAAATTAATCTTTAATTCCAAAGGTTTCGACATTGAATTTAATGTCATCATCAGTGGATCTAAAAACAGTGAAAAAATTAATATAACCAGATAGTTATAAGATTTGTGGAATTATATATATATATATATATATATATATATATATATATATATATTGAATGGTAGAATCTTGGATTTGTGTATATTTTGTAGAGTTTCGAACAAGAATCCAAAAATAATACAAAATAAAAAAACAAGAAAAGTTTTTAAAAAACAATTTCTTTATTTAATTATTTGTTTACTGTCAACGTTTCGGAACTAGGTACGTTTCATCTTCAGGACATCTGTCAAGAAACATGATCTTGATGAGATTTAGGCAAACAATATGTTTAGGAATAGAAAATAGATTTTTCTTAAATAATAAATTAATTGTAACAAATAATAATGTACAGAAATATGATAATATGATCAAAATGAAAATGATAAAAATAAATGAGTGGATTATCAGAACAGGATATTAAAAATGATAGAAATTTTTTATGAAAGTTATGGAAAAAATTTTTTTAAGAAAAGATTAATGATAAAATTTAATTAATTACCTGTATGTTTGAATATACGTTAGCACTTTTGTGCTAACAATTCAATTTTATCATTAATCTTTTCTTAAAAAATTTTTTCCATAACTTTCATAAAAAATTTCTATCATTTTTAATATCCTGTTCTGATAATCCACTCATTTATTTTTATCATTTTCATTTTGATCATATTATCATATTTCTGTACATTATTATTTGTTACAATTAATTTATTATTTAAGAAAAATCTATTTTCTATTCCTAAACATATTGTTTGCCTAAATCTCATCAAGATCATGTTCCTTGACAGATGTCCTGAAGATGGAACGTACCTAGTTCCGAAACGTTGACAGTAAACAAATAATTAAATAAAGAAATTGTTTTTTAAAAACTTTTCTTGTTTTTTTATTTTGTATTATTTTTGGATTCTTGTTCGAAACTCTACAAAATATATATATATATATATATATATATATATATATATATATATTTGTGGAATTATTCCACTCTCCACGTTTGGAATTAAAGATTAAATCATTGTTTTTTATTCTTTGATGTATCCGCCCTGCAAGAACTTGCTCATATATCTCAACATCAAAAATAACTACTATAATATACTATATATATATATGTATATATATATATATATATATATATATATAAACTCAAGCCAATGAAATTTTTATTTGAAACTTCTTGTTTTTAATGAGCCTTTAACCATTTCCGTCCAGGAATGAATTACAATATTTTCAAACTATGACCAAAGCAACAAATAATCCAAATTTGAAAAATGCCGTTATTATGGGTCGCAAAACATGGTTGGGAATACCTCCTAGTAAAAGACCATTAGGAGATCGTTTAAATATTGTATTAACTCGAAATCCTACCTCCATAAATTGTCCTGATGGTGTTGTCATAACAACAAGTTTAGAAGAGGCATTTAATTATCTTATGAAACCTGAGGTGAAGAATGCTATTGAAAATGTTTGGATTGTTGGAGGTAGCAGTGTTTACAAGGTATGAGAAATCATATTGACAATAAATGTTTTCATTAATTTAGAAGATTGATTTCTGCTTTGTTTCAAGTTTAAACATAGGCAAACGTTTTGGAATTTGTGCAAACTTACTATAGTAACAAAGTATTTATTTCTGAAATTATAGGAGTCAATGCTGTCTCCATTTTGCCATCGTATTTATCTTACAAAAATATATGCTGACATAGAATGTGATACTTTCTTCCCGGCTATTACTGAAGATTTTATTGAAATAGAAAATTGTGAAGAAATACCGAAAGGAATTCATGAAGAAAATGGGTTAAAATATGAATATAAGGTTTATGAAAAAATAGTTACATAAATATTTAGAAAAAAGTTTATTCAATATTTTTAGGAATGTTTTATAACTAACTAAACTTTATATTTTGGTAATTCTAATATTAGTGTTATATTTTTGTAATATCAATAAAAGTTAATGAAATGTTTTCTTATTGGTGAAAGATTGAATATATTTTGTGATACTATTTTAATATTACACATTAAATTGTTTATAATCAAAATGATGTTTGGCTTTCACATAATTAATTATTCGTGATGTTTATTTTTTATTTCATAATAATTTTATTTTAAGAAAAAGGCATGTAAAGTTGTCACATTTTTAACTCACCAAATTTGATCAAAAGTGTTGTTCAAATAGTCCTGGCCCAATGAATATTCATACTGCACAATTTATAATAGTTCAATTATAAATTAGAATTATAAATTAGAAGTTGTGATCGTTGTGAAACTGGTCGTATTAACTTTTATATATGAATAGAAATGTGGAAATGATTTACAAAATATATATTGGAGTTAATATTCAGCATTCATATAAATTTAAAGTTTGTCATATATTTTACAGGACGAAACATAGATAAGTAAGCATATGGAACGAAATGTTGCGCTGAATGTTTTCGCCTTATGATTTCATTTTTATTAACTTCCCGTAGGGTAAGTTATTGTAATGGGCCAAAAATCGGAATTGAAAATTTTTACATTTCTCGACGTTTTGAAGGTTTCTGAACGTTTTGGCATACCTCAGAAAAAATGGATGTGTGTGTGTGTGTGTGTGTGTGTGTATGTATGTATGGATACAAATTTTCGTCCACGTTTTCGGGCGTACGGATCAACCGATTTGAATGGTTTAAAAAACATTCGATTTCTATTAATAAGGAGAAGAGCTGATTAGTTTTTGGCAAAGACAGGTCCAGCAGTTACGGAGATAAGGAGCAAAGAGTGCAGAAAATAGAAATCGAGTTTTTGAGAGAACGGAGCATCCGATTTGAATGATCTAAAAAACATTCCATTAGTAATGATTGGGAGAAAGGGTTATTAGTTTTTCGCAAAGGCAGGCCCAGCCATTTCGGAGATACAGAGCTAAATGTACAAAAAATGGCAGTTTTTGAGAGAACTAAGCGTCCGATTCAATTGATTCAAAGAACTTTCTGCTTGTCTTAACAAAATAATTAATTTTGGAAAAAAAAAATTTTGTACCATTTTCTTTTTTTTTTTTTTTTTTTTTTTTTTTTTTTAATTTTTTGTATATCGAAAATAATTCAGATTTTATTTTTAATTCTGACTATAGTTCTAATATACTTTAAACAAATAATTTCAACTCTGCAATTCAGTTTATATAATTATTATAAATATTAGACAATAATACAATATTTATAATAATCTATTTGAAAACATTCAATATTCCTCGAACGTTTCGTTACGGTACGGGAAGTTCCAGCAATTTGCCTTAAGGCACGATGCCACCCACCCCACTAGTTTAGAATTTGAATCGCCGCTTTTTTCAATGTTTGTATTTAAATTTAATTATGTCAATGTTGTCACTCCTGAACAAGGGGCGTCAAATGTCAAACGAAACTTGTGTTAAGGTTACAAAATCCAACAGTTAACAGAATGAATATATATAATATGACTAAATAACTATTACTTTCATCTTTATGCATGTTTAACATATAAAAAACGATATGAATCTAGACAAGTAAGGTATTTGTGGTGATAATGGCGCAAGTCATTTCAAAAAACTTTGTCTTCAAATTTCCTACATGCACCACAAATCAAGAATATGAATTAGAAGTGCCTGTAGAAATACCTTTTTATGGAGACGTTACAGAATTAACAGAGCGCATAATCTCCGTTTTTGATATTCCAATCTATGTCAAGAGTGGTAAAATTATTATAATATATTTGTTATATTTGAAAAATCGATTGTGAGTAAATTTTTATGTTGTAGATGTACAAACGGCTTTAGAGAATTTCGTTAAGAAAGAATCAGCACAATTTTATGACAATCAAGCTGCTAGTTTATTAGAGAAAACGTCTTCTGGAGAAATAGATACGGAAGATTTAATAAGACGATGGGAGAAAGCATTTAAGGAAGAAACGTCTGAATATGCTTCTAGAACTGGACCTTCTGATGAAGATATTTTTGCTACGGCTTATCATAGGTGATTTTGTATAACATACGTGCTGTATCTTAACTGTGCACTGTATAACATGATATTGATAAGGTATAGAATAGTATCTTTTGCAATTCTAAGTAGCAAAGTGATGACAGAAAAAAACTTGCTTAATATAGAATATTAGATTCATTTGGAACATTAATTAAATTTTTTAAATTAATTGTATAAAATTCCAAATGAATGTATTTTCAGATTAGTTCACTCTTCATCTTTAGACGCTATGTTGGCTATTGAGAAATCATATGCTATGGCTGTTCAAAATCTGTGCGTACAAAGAGATGAGGAAATATCACAGCTCACTTCTCATCAGCTAGAAGAAATGGATGAAATGATTAAAGGTCTTCATGTTACATCAACTGAGGAGGTAATATTCCCCCAAATTCATTATAATAAAACATTGATTTTTGATAGAAAATTGATATTTCCTTTAGAACATAAATCGTTTGGCTGTGCAACATTTTTCTGGGCAAGCGTTAGCAAGAGGCAGATGGAACTCACAGCTTCATGCCTTGCATGGGGCTCAAAGAGTGGAGTATAGAGAGTGGATAGGATCTCAGTTGGGAGGTGCTTTCAGCCCAACAACATCTCCAACAGGTTACAGGTAATAATATAAGTATTTACTTTGGCAGTGGTAAAAAATATTAGGAAAAATTGTTTTAATAGCCCACCAATGGCACCTCCTACATCGTCCAGTAACAACTGCTTGGAAGAAAGTTTCACAATTCATTTAGGATCTCAATTGAAGCATATGCATAATATAAGAATATTATCAGCTGATGTTATGGATTTATGCAATACCAAAAACACGGATGAAAGGTTTGCAGATTAGCTGAATTGTAATTGTTTCAAATAAATTCACCAATAATTTTTTTGTAATACTAATTAATAAATAATATATATATTTATTGTTTATAAAAAACTTTATTTTTAGCATTGATTGTGGACCACAACGATTACACACTGCTTTAGGATTGTATTCAAATTCACTATGTGGAATTGTTTTACTCACAGATAACTCTGTTGAGAGCCATGATCTTGCTGCTCTAGCAAATAATTCAACTGAATTTCATTTTGCTACAGTTAGTTAAATATAAATTTATAATTTATCAATAGACTTACAAGAACAATTTCTTTTAAGATGGATGACCAGTTAGAAACCATTCGAAATGAAGTGAAAGAAGCTGTTAAATTCAGAAACTGCACGAGGGATGAAGAACACATTGATAGAGTCAATAAGAGTTCTTTAAAAGATACGAAAAATTTACAAACTGGTGATATTTTCATAACTAAACATTCCAATTTGTCTCAAGTGCATGTAGTATTTCATCTGGTTTGTGATGACAGTAGTCTACGGAGTGGAGATATCAATTCTAGGTATATAATTTTACATACATCATGCATTTATTTCATTAAGATAATTATTTCTTTTCAGGCATCCTGCAATTTTGGGTCTGCGAAATGCTCTTAAAATTGCTTCTTGTAATGATGTAACTACACTTACAATACCTGTATTATTGAGGCATGAAATGTCTGAGGTATGGTAAAAAAGTTCTCGTATTTATATTAAACTTCAGAATTATAACAGCACTGAAAATATTCGATCGGTTTAAAAACAGCAAGTACCAAGTTGAAAATTATTTATGTATGAAAATAAAAACAAATTTTAATTTCTACCATATTATGAATTTTGGTGTAAGCAGAAGAATGTAAAATAAGGTAGAACCAACTTAATTATTTGAAATTTTAATATCAATGGCCTTAATTCAGCTCTTACTACCATATTCTGTACATTAAGCTGTATAAACAATTTTAAAATTCATGAATTTAAGCTATTACCATTAAGTTTATCCTGTTTTCAGGAAATGACAGTGACATGGTGTGTCAGAAGAGCTGAATTAGTTTTTAAATGTGTGAAAGGATTTATGATCGAAGCAGCATCCTGGGGAGGTGCAGATCTTTGCACATTGCAACTTTTATTACCTCATGGAATATCTGAAGAATTATTCACTACATTGGCCAATATGATACCTTATGTGTTCAGAGTGGCTAATCCACTAGTCTTAAAATAAGATAACCACTAAATCAGATTGAAAATGAAATTTTATTATTAGTTCAGAGAATTTTAATAGCTGTTTATAGATACAAAGGAATAAGTGTTTACATTATGATATTTAAATGATTTAATGATTATTGCATTTATATGTAAATTATTATGTTATTGATCTGATTTGGTGATAGAATTTGTGGTCACAAATATTTAATATTATTTTTTAGCACATATGCATTTAGATTATATATTTATTTATATGCTGGCATAAAAACCTTTTTATTTCTATTTTAAATAATAGAATTTAGTTTGTATAAACAAAGTAAGCATTTTGTAAAAATAACTGTTCATAAGGTATAAACATATTTTATAAAAAATACACAAATTTTGCTGTTATATTATTAATTTTAATTATTTTTCAGTTTCTTAAAATTTATCCACAGTCCTCCCTCTGCTTTATATAGAAAGGCCTTCTTATCTAGTTTTATAGGATTTTGTGTTTTCGGAGCTACAGTCAATTCATAGTTCATAACTGTATGCAGTAAAGCTACTTTAATTTGTAGTAAGGCAAATCGCATTCCTGAAATAAAAGTAATTATATATTATGTGTTTTAATTTAAGTTTTATTATATAAATATTAAATTTGTGATTCTGTTTTAGTTTGTAGTAATTAAATCATTACCTAAGCACATTCTTGGACCACCTCCGAATCCAAGAAATGCAAAAGGATGTCTAGCTGATTTTTCATCATCAGTAAATCGGTCAGGATCAAACCTTTCTGGATCTGGATAATATTCTGGATCACTGCAAATTTATTTTATATTAACCAATACAAACGCAAATTAATGGTGAATATTCTAAATTAATATAATCCTAAAAAAATTTGCATAAGTTTCTTACTTATGAATAGACATAACTGGTATCATTATCGAATCATCAGGTTCCATAGTCAAAGTTTCATTTCCTTTTCCTTGCAAGGTGCATTGTTGTGTGCACCTTTTTTTGCATAAACATTAATGGTGGATACTTTCTCATGGTTTCTGAAATAAAATTATATTTGTATTATTATGGCATCAAGAATTTGAATTTTTTTTCTCATTATTTTTAACTTTCCAAATAAGAAGTTTGTTTAGCGATTTGCTATTTTAGGATGTTTCAAGTATTGTGAACCATTGGAAACCAAAATGGTATAAATCAAATGGTATTTGTGTGTGTATGAACAAAATTTTTGGCCTTTCATCGTTAATTATAAGTCTGTTTGGAAAATATAAATTGGAAATTGCATTGATTAGCAGCTGGTGAAAGCAAAAACGGATGTTACTTTGTTTTTGAAATGAACAATTGAAATTTTAATCTAATTAGATAAATCTTAATAATTATTGATAGAAAATTTTACACAGTGACATTGCAATTATCACTGATATTGTTACATGTTCACAATGATGTTGCAAATTGTTTTTGAGTAATAGATTTGCAAAATATACTTGCCGTATATTATTCTTTCCAAGTAGTGCATTTCCATAATAGCTTCATAATTTAGGCATCCATCATACTTTTCCGATACCTCTTCTATCTCTCTTCGTAAATATTCTTGAACATCCTTATTGTGTGCTACCTATATTAAAAATATTACCATTTGTTTTTTAAATATTGTCAATTTTTTAAGTTTTAGAATTTTATGAAAATAATGTTATATTTTTTGTTATACTTACTGCATATAATGCAAATGCTAGAACTCCGCTTGAGGTTTCATAACCGTCTGTTAAGAATGACAAAGAATGACCAGTCATTTCTAAATTAGTCAGAGCTGTAATTAAGAGATTCATTATAAATTATTTTGACGATTGGCCAACTTTTTATATTTTTTATTTCCATAAATGTGCTAATATCAATAGTTATTTCAAAAGGTTTATTTTGTTTAAGGAATATTATTTATACTTACGTTGATAATCAATATGCGTCTTGTTTCTCAAATTCATCATTCCTTGCAAGAAATCATCTCGAGACACATTATTTTTTTCTCTATATTCTACATTTTGATTAATAACTGCTACCATCCAATCAGAAGTTTCTTTAGGGACGAATCTGTTATAAAGCAACAAATTAGTTATTTATTCTTATCATTTACATTAATTAGAATGTGTTTGAGTTGTTTGTTTTTGGTTTCAATTGTTGCTAAAAACTAAAATTTCTCTCATTTTGCAACCACTAGCTCAATCAAGTCTTTCAATTCATCAATTTTTATTTTTGTAGAATCATTTATTTATTTACAGTATTTTATTTTGTTTAGATATAATTTATATAACTCATTTTTAAAAAAAAGTATGAACAAATTGAAAAATAAACTTTTACCTAATACGTAGCAGTTTAGTCAGCCAAGGTGCCATAAAGATAATGATGAATTTAATTATGTTAAGTGCAGTAGTTTCGAAAAGTTTCCTTCCCAATCGAATAAAATCTGATTTTGGATTTGTAAAAGATTCTGCATCAATGCCAAAAGCACATGTAGCTACATTGTCCATTGCAAATTTTTCACTCAACTATTAAAAATAGAAAAATACATGAATCCTTCGAAAGGTATTAAAACTAATCTATAATTTCTTATTTTATAATATCTTTGACCTAAAATTCAACATATTGCGACAAGGGTGTTTTTTTGCAGGAGTGACGCTGCTGTATGAGTTAGCAAACCGTCGACATTCGTGCACACAGGTCATCAAGCGGATGTCGTCTATAGACGACACTCAAACGGGAAGGGTTACAATAATTGTTTCCTACGTGTTCATTGGCAAATACTGTTTTTATTAAACAGATGGTATTTACTTACATCTTTCGCATCCAATCCGGTCGAAGTTGTAGCATCGTTTTGTTCACTTATATACTTGGTCAACTTTTGAGCAACTTCTGTCATCAACGGATACATCACTTTCATCTTAAGGTAATAAAGTTTTAAACATTGAACTTTAACTATTTCTAAACTCATCTATATAATTGTTTTTATTTAGCTTGTGAATGAAAATCTACTTACCCGTCCCGATGTGAAAGCTGGTATAACTTGATTTCTCGCTCTTTTCCATTTAGCTCCAGATAACGCAAACGGATTGGTATTCAGCAGCACCTCCAGTTCTTCATCAAATTCAAAATCATTCTTTTGGAAAGATGTGAAGTCTGTGGCTAAAACTGTTTTTATTACATCTAAATCCACGAGCACAAGAGATGGTCTAAAAAAGGCGAAAGAACCGAAGAATGGCTCTTCACGGAAACGCCTGCATAAAAAAATTTAAAGGTACCTTAGTAATATAATAACTATTAATTTGATAACTTGCAAATATATCAGTTATTAAACAACAATTTTCTATGCCGTTATTTAGTTTTAATATTAGCCAACATATAAAATTTTTGTCGTCAGAAAATCCGATTTGGTAATTTTATGTTTTCTCGACACTTACACCTGGTTGAATTTTAATTTATCCTACATTTATATATGTAATTTGATGAGGACCAGTGTTGATTAGTTTTGTGCGGGCTAGCTGTTTTTTTATTTATAATTATCAGAAGTGTAAAATTTTATTTTCGAAATAAACGATTGAATACTTTACCTAAATAGCTGATTTTTCAAGTTAATTATGTATGCTTTACGAAGAAGTATGCAATTTGCCTTAAAGCAAAATGCTACTTACAATTAGTTTTGAGCATTAATTTATGCGAAAACTCGAAATGCAATTATTAATTTTTTTATATAAATAACGTATAACGTTAAGAACGAAATAACGTATTGCGATCTATTCCGAAATATGATTTTTTTAAATTATACATATAAACTTACTTGTAGTAGCCATCCAATATATTAGCAAAATTTTCTTTAATCGTAATATTGTTGAAAAAATCTTTGAAAAAAGTATCTGCTGTATTTGCTTTCAAATTCTTCCTGGACCAATGTTCAGTTCTCTTCTTGGCGTAAAAATAGGCAAGGCTTAGGGCAGCTGCCAACAAAGTTATCCATAACATCTTAGAAACTTATCGGCAGTAATAAAAATAGCTATAAAATAAATAATTTTTTATAGAATGTATGATGAGAAAATGATCATTTTTAATTAAAGAATTGGTGGAACTGGCAATAATGAAAATAGCTTTCAAACTTTTCATTTTATAAAATGACTGATTTTGAACAAAAACAAATATAAAATCTTTATTTAGAGAAAACTAGGGCTCGCCCTTAGGTAAGCGTTTAAGAGCGACCGGACTTGTTTCAGAGGTCCCGGGTTCGATACCCAATTCGAGCAGCCTGTTGTCAGGCAGCAGTGACAACGATTTTCACTTGAAAATATAGATAGCAATATGATTCCAAGTGAAAATAGCCCTTGCCCGGCATTGCTGCACCAATAAAAAGTCAGCCCTATTAGATTAATTCTAATAACAAAAATCATCAAATATGGGTGGATTAACCATTGGATTACCATCTAAAAATACGAAGTAAGGAGAAGTTTCAGCCCAACAGCTCATAGGACGAAAGGTTCTGATTGTTGTTAAAAATATAATAATAAAAAAAAAAATAGAGAAAACTGAAGGACTTTTGTCTGTAAGTTTATGGATTGTATGATAAAATCATCAAAAAGTGATAAATATTAATCTGGCCCTTAAGGGAATATTCTAGTGTGGAGGCATAAATTTTAGGTCATTTTTAAATCATCTTAAAAAAAGGCAATACATTTTTTCACTATTATTTTTTTTTACAATTTATTTATCAATGTCACAAGAGTACAAAAAAAGTTAATAATTTTTAAAATTAACGGTTGTTGAAGTGAGGAGTTACAAAAAATTGGCACGATTGCAACCCTCCTAGTAATCCGAAATGAAAAAAAAAGATGATTAATGTAGAATAATGTCGAAATGGTATGTACATATTAGGATTGAGTTAATTTTTTTTGACAAAATAGCGATTTTTTTTTCAAATTCTTACCACTTTTTTGAGTGTCACGAATTTTTTAAAAATAGTAAAATTTCAAATTTGGTGATGAGGCTAGTATATCCCAGGGAGAACTCTATAAAGAAGATTCTCTGAAAATTTTAAGTGAATCGGCTCAGTAAAACTCTGGAAATCGTGGACATCGTATTAAAAAAGACAGCTTGAGAAAAACGCGTTTAAAGTTTTGCAAATAGACTACGACTCTCTGAAAATAATTTGAATTTTAAAAAATATTATCGTACCAATAATCCTGAATACATAAACTTTGAAAATATCTAAAAACAAAACACACCCAAAATCTTTTTTTTTTTAATTTTTACACTAGATTTAATTAACCCTTAATGCATGCAATTTAATTTAACCCTTAATGCATTTACATCTTGCTCATAAAATTGAACATTTTCGGTTCAAATCGTTTGGCTATGATTATCTAAGTTCTCAATAAATTAAATCTTATAAAAATTTGAAGCTCACGGGAATGAGTTTAATTTTCAGGCTTTTTTTGTATGTCCAAAATCCTGGGCGACCAGGATTAGAGAAAAGCACGCTAAGAATCACCAGTATAAATTTTTTTAGCCTTTTAATTGTTTACACATTTTGTGTTTCCACAATTTGCCTCTTGGCAAAATTACACTTACACCTGGTTATGTTTTAATTTATCCTACATTTTCATTTTTTTTTAAGTTTCAGAAGTTTTGAATCGTAGGTTTTGAACAGTTTTTGCAAATAATGTGATTTTTTGCAAAAACTGTTCAAAACCTACGTCAACAAATTTTCTATATATTTAGTATTTGTTTTTGGCGAATTATTATAATGTGAAAAATAATTTCTAAATAGTATTCACTTAATGTGAAAGTGTTACTTTTTGCCTTTTTATCATTGTATACATAATTAATACCTTTTAAATAGGAAACAATTCACTTCGTATTTATTATATAATCACACGTACACTTTATTATTCACTAAATAAATATAAATGACACATTGTAATCAAAAACATTTTTTAAATAATTATTTGATAAAGTAGTACATCACTTCTTAGATAAGATTTGTAGAGTTTAGATATAATCACCTAAATATCGTTTGGCCAATTATTTATTAAGGTCATACTAATTGAAGGTCAGTCTCATGAAGCAAGTCATTTTAATTTTTTTTAATTAATCACTGACACATGATAATCAAAAACATTGGTAAATAAATATTATATCTGAAAAATGTATATAAGTTTTAAGACAAACTTTGTAGGGTTTGATATAATTTACTAAAGAGTCGTTTGCGCAATTATATATGAAGGTCAAATAAATATATTTATTAGTTTTATATATAAAACTAGTGGGGTGTATGGCATCGTGCCTTAAGGCAAATTGCTGGAACTTCCCGTACCGTAACGTAAGGTTCGAGGAATATTAAATGTTTTCAAATAGATTATTATAAATAAATATTGTAACATTGTCTAATATTTATTAAGAATTATATAAACTGAATTGCAAAGTTGAAATTATTTGTTTGAAGTATATTAGAACTATAGTCAGAATTAAAAATAAAATCTGAATTATTTTCGATATACAAAAAAAAATTCTTGAAACAATTTATTTTTCCAAAATCAATTATTTTGTTAAAACAAGCAGAAAGTTCTTTGAATCATTCAAATTGGACGCTTAGTTCTCTCAAAAACTGCCATTTTTTGCACATTTAGCTCTGTATCTTCGAAATGGCTCTGGGCCTGCTTTTGCCAAAAACTAATCATCTCTTCTCCCAATCATTACAAATTTAATGTTTTTCAGATCATTCAAATCGGATGCCCCGTTCTCTCAGAAACTCGATTTCCATTTTCTGCACTCTTTACTCTTAATCTCCGTAACTGCTGGACTTGCCCTCGTCAAAAACTAATCAGCACATCTTCCTATCAATAGGAATCGAATGTTTTTTGAACCATTCACATCGGTTGATCCGTGCGCCCGAAAACGTGACTGGAAAATTGTATCCATACATACATAGACACACACATCCATTTTTTCTGAGGTATGCCAAAATGTTCAGAAACCTTCAAAACGTCGAGAAATGCAAAAATTTTCAATTTCGATTTTTGGACGATTACAATAACTCACCCTACGGGAAGTTAATAAAATACTAACAATCTATAAAGTGATTCGAGTAATATAGAAAACATCATTAGATTTAAAGAATAATTCAAACTAATAGTCTTTTCGCAAGACTTTTGCTATTTAGAGCAAATAGTGATGGTTTTATTTTTTCTACAGTATTCCATTTAAAACCACTTATGGAGACAAACATCTGTATCAGACATAAGCAATAATTTTTTTATTGTTTTAGTCAATCAATATCAATAATGTTAACAATAAGTAAGTAAATGACAAAAAAACATAATTCGTTAAATTACAACTTACAACTAAATATAAAACTAATGCTTAACACTAACTAAAATGTATTATAATGACTATAAGTAGATGTGACTATATCATTTCGATGCATAACATATTACACTCGACATTGTACCACATATTGATTGAAATATAGAAATTTAACAAGTCAAAAAAAAGTACGTGCGTACCTTGCGCGCTTGATTTTCTCTATTTTATATTTTTTTAACATGTTTGTAATTTTGATCAAAATATATTTTATATGCGCATATTTTGTCCTCATTTCATTTACTCAAATTAATCAGGTTCATCTTTTCTATTTGTACTACTTATATTGAATTATTTCATATACCACGTCTCCATTGAGATTTATATAAAAATGACCGTGATCATGTCATTGGGTTCAGCACAAAATCAGAAAAAAAATTGGGGAAAAAATTTTTTTGAAAAAAAATTTTTGGGAAAAAACCATGGACTATATATAGTCTTTGATTTTTTTGGAAAAAATTTTTGATAATAAAATTCAAACTTAAAAAAATCAAAGGAAAAAAAATTTTTGGAAGAAAAAATTTAGAAAAACAAAAATTATCGGGTAAAAAATTCAAAGTGAGTGAAAAATATGTATGTTTTGACACGCCACACCTAACGAACGAACATAAATGAACGTACCAGAACGAACGGCAACAGCATAGTGTGGCGCCACAACGATCACGAACGAACATAAACAAACATGGCGAGCAATGTTCCGCAACTTGTCTGTACATCAAAGGGAATTGTTTGTTCATGTTTGAACTCGTATGTGCAGTGTGGACGCTACCACGAATGTAGACAAACATTTTTTCTTTTTTGATGTTAAAATGTGCTGTCCTGCATTAGTTTATGTTGTTGTGGTAGCGTCCACACTGCACATACGAATTCAAACATGAACGAACAGTTCCCTTTGATGTACCTACAAGTTGCGGAACATTGCTCGCCATGTTTGTTTATGTTCGTTCTGGTACGTTCATTTATGTTCGTTCGTTAGGTGTGGACGCGTCTTAAGGATACGTCCACACCTAACGAACGAATACGAATGAACATGATAAATAATATGCGCAGATTGAAAGCTTCTAAAAACGCTACCACGAATGTAGACAAACATTTTTTCTTTTTTGATGTTAAAATGTGCTGTCCTGCATTAGTTTATGTTGTTGTGGTAGCGTCACACTGCACATACGAATTCAAACATGAACGAACAGTCCCTTTGATGTACTACAAGTTGCGGAACATTGCTCGCCATGTTTGTTTATGTTCGTTCTGGTACGTTCATTTATGTTCGTTCGTTAGGTGTGGACGCGTCTTAAGGATACGTCCACACCTAACGAACGAATACGAATGAACATGATAAATAATATGCGCAGATTGAAAGCTTCTAACAAAAGCGACCCACGCGCATGTCAAAATCCATGTTCGTTCGTGCTCGTTCGCTAGGTGTGGACGTACCTTTAAGTATTGCTGTTATTGACAAATCTTGTAAATTTATTGACTTTAAATAATTTTGCTCTTTCCCGCCACTTTAAATAATAAATCTGACGTTTCACGGTACATCCTCGAACAAAAAGATTCAAGCCCTCACTGCTTTGAGGCGTTTGTTTGGAATTATTCGCGTTCGTTCGTATTCCTGTTCGTTCTTCTTTGTATTTTCTTGTTCGACATGTTCGTTCGTTAGGTGTGGCGCACCTTTATGATTTGAGTGAAAAATGTAGATGTAAAAAAAATCATGGATGGTAGTTCATAAAAAAAATTGAAAGAAAGCACAGGCCAAATCTTCAATTTTTTATATAAAAAATTTTCTATCACATATCTGATGACTTTGCTTTTTTTACCGTATATATTCATATGACATATCCAACTATACACATTGCCTTCTACCGTATATAGTCAAATAGGTGAATTTCACAATCATAGATAAGGAAACAATGTTTTAAATTTCTATTTGAATTTCGCGCTTTAAATTGTACAAGTGGCCACACGCTTTTTGACACATGTGTCAAAAGGTGCAATATCCATCTTTAACAAGCACATAAGTTTGAACATGGCCGGTAATCTCCGAACAAATGTAGATTACCGCTATTATTATGCTTATTTATCTAGGAGTTTGAATAAAACCTGTCAAAATACGGAATAAAACCTGTCAAACGCCATCTTGTATGGGCACCTTGTTGCACTTTTTCGCCACTACGAGAAGTCATGGCGTACTCACTGACATTTTTATGAGCTTGCCCGTTCCCTTTTTGATCTGATTTTGTACTCTGGATCTTAACAACTTTTAAAAGTTATTAATTGTTTATTTTTATTTAAAAAATTAAACCTAAATCGATTTATATTTTTTTTACTTTTATTAGTTTATTAAATTAAAGCTATCTTCGCATTGTTGAATTTTAGAGTATGGTATAAATAATATATATTGAATAAAATGCTTAAAAATGATTTTTAATCTTGTAGTATTAATATATTCTTAGATTAAAATTAAATTAAATTTGTCTGTATGGTTTCTTTGATAATTTTTCAGAATTTTTTTACACGTTGAAACTTCCAGTCGTGTATTTCTTCTCTTTGGCAGAAAATATGCCGCGTTTGACAAGTCGAAGTCGGAATTGAATGAAATGTCATCGTGATGAGTTTATCCAATTATATTTTCACATGTTTTAATACTGTGTACGAACAGATAGAATATTTATATACAGTTCTGTGTGAATATCTAGTTAAAACCTGGATCTCAAAAGAAAGTGCAGTATCATTTCTCGTCCCAATTCAAGAAACATTTGAATATTTACTAAGTTTTGACGAATACCAATTAACACTTCTAAAAGTCTTGATTGCACTAATTAGTTTGAATATTGTTTTTATTTGCATTGCTTGGAATTATTACAAGGACGTAATCTGGGAGTGCTCCATTCGACCAAGTAAGAAACCACTAAAATTGTCACCGCAGAAGCTGCTTTGGCCCGGTTGGGAAATAAAAGGGAAAAAAGTGCTGCTTTTAACACATCACTTGCTGCAATACAAGTATGCATCATATATATATATATATATATATATATATATATATATATATATATATATAATTGGATTATTAAACTTAAATCCACTTACGCTGAATTATTTTTAGGCACAGGTGAAAAGAGAATTAGAGATGGAGAAATATGCTGCTGAGAGTTCTCAAAGAAGAGGTAGTTCTGAAATTAGTGTTCCACGAACAAAAGAATTAGAGGCCTCAACACATTTAGCAACCAAAGGAGTTTATTTTAGGTACAATGTTACATTTTATTGGTGAACATTCAAAAATTAAATATATACATTTATTTATTTATTACATAGCTCACAGAATTAAGTAGTAAGGACTTAAAAGTACAATTTTAGTTTTTCAATTTTATAAAATAGAATAGAATAAGATGAAATACTTGAACATGTTTGAAAAGAATTATAAAGATTTGGTTGAGCAGATGGAGCTTATTTGATTTAGTGTAGTATTATGAATATCAATATCTTTGTTGATTGAGTTAATGTTAGAAGACATTTGTAAATTAAAGGTTTAATAAATTTGAAAGAGAATTATTAGTTCATATAGGAACCAAATACTATCAATAAAACGACATGTGGCAAGAGATGATATGCTGAATTCATTGTAACATGTTGTGGTCGAAGCCACATACAGGGTAAATTTTGTGCATTTGGAAATGCAGATATTTTAAAAATTTACATACAACCTTTTGTATCACATGCGAGTTATTGCTATGAGGATACCAAATAATTGATCATTATACTATATATTTCACTTAAAATTAAATATTATTCATTGTAGATGCCCTATGGTTAGCGATGAGATTTTGCCAAAAGATGAATGGAAGCCCAAAATTAGGGAATTTCTTTATGAACAACTCGCTGATGAGAGAGGCCTCACTTCTTGCCTTATAATACATTCCCTAAATACAAAAGAAAAGTGTGAATCATGCTGTGAATTACTTAAGAAATATCTAGAAAACATAATTTCTCATCCTGATGAAGAAAAATATCATAAAATTAGAATGTCTAACAGGTAAGATAAATTGAATTCAATTTAAAAACTGAAACTGTTTATAAATTTATATGTGGATGCTAATATTTACCTTCATATTAATTATTATAGATTGTTTGTGGAACGTGTGAAACCTGTTGAAGGTGCCCTGGACTTCTTACTTGCCGCTGGATTTGTAGAACAAGTTTGTGATGGACCTGATGGTTCAGAATGTTATTTAGTTTACCAGAATACTTCTGAGGGCACTACTAATTTAGAAGTATAAAGAATACAAATTTTTGTACATTCATAATTACATTAGGCTTTATTTTTAAATTCAAAATTGGTTTAGATTTTACTTGATGCTCTGCAAAGTGCAGAACCATTGTCGCTAGAATTGGACAGATGTTTACAAGTATTATTACCGTCCCAAGCAAATAAATGCACAGAACTTCCACCTGCTTTTTATGCTATTACATCTGAGGAATTAAAGAGAGAACAGCAACAAAGGTAGATTTAGTAAGCCATCTCATATAAAATCAATTTTGTTTTAAATATAGATACATTATGTATCACACAAAATCCAAATTTCTTAAATTCTTTCAATAATCTTTGATCTTGATAAAAATAATTTGAATATTAGTTTTCAATATTCATGTTTTATATCTATTCATTTATTGTTTAAATGTAGAACAGAGTCAATAGAGAAAGCACAAATGCTAAGAACTAAAGCGATGAGGGAAAAGGATGAAATGAGAGAGTTACGTAGATATAAATACGCCTTGATAAGAATACGTTTTCCTGATGGAATCTTTTTACAAGTAAGATGTAACAAATTACATTTAAAATTATTCAATTAGTTTTAATCAGATTATTAAAGATATTTTTTTTTAGGGTACATTCAGTGTATATGACAAAATATCTCAAATATTTGATTTTGTTCGGGGAGCTCTGCACAATGAAAAAGCAGGCTTTACTCTCTTAACACCATCAAGTACTATTCTTGATAACGAATCAAATGACCAGACCTTGTTAGACATGAAATTGGTACCAGCAACAGTCTTGCTTTTTTCTTACAGCGATAGTTCTTCTACAAATTTATTTTTGAAGCCGGAACTAATGTTACTTGTTCAAGAAATTTAGGTTGCAGGAATGAAAGTCTCAGGTGCTTAGATTATTTTTAATGCAATTTTTGCATTTTGTTACTTCTGTGTTGTTTGATAATTTATAAAAAATATATTTTCATATCACGTTTTTTTAATTTTTCATGCTTCTCTTGTCAATTTGATGAATGTATTTATTGTTGATTTAATTGCCAATAATATATACAGTAATACCCCGCTTAACGCCGTTTTGTTTAGAGCTATTTCGATTTAGCGCTCGTTTATTTCAACCCAGGTTTTGAAAGGGAAGTTGTTGAAAAAATAATTCATGAAACAGTGCAGTTATTCTAATGATGAAGCTCAAGGAATAAACTGAACAAGAAGAAAACAAAAGTGTTGATGGCAGTGATTCAGAGGAAGAGCAAAAAGAACTTTCAATGGCATTTGTAAAACCATAACTGAAATTATGGATCAATTCATTGTAAATGATTTGAATTTTGACAGGAGCTCAAAAGTAAGGTGTGATGTTAGCGATGCTCTATCCTTTTATGAAGAACTTTATATAGAGAACAATGCAAAAGAAAGGCAAACAACATCAGATAGATGCTTTTGTCACAAAAAGGTTCTGCCTTTTTGTGACTGAAAACATGGAAGGCTAACTAAATATGGATGACTTCAAATTTTATTCGTTTTCTCAAGAATATTCGTTTTGCTCTTTATATTTTGTTTTTATTATTGCAAGAAATAACAACATGGTATTAATTTGGGCTTTAGTGAAAAAATGTTTAGTTTTATTTTTATTAAAAAACATGCCTTTTGAATTTAAAATCTAATCTATTTCCCAGCCATCTTACCTCAATATTTCTACGTAAAGATAGCCTCGTTTAACGCTGTTTCGTATTACGCTCTACATTGATGGAACGTATCCCCCGCATTAAGCGGGGTATTACTGTATTTGCAATATGTGCGTATATATATATATATATATATATATATATGTATTTGTATATTTATTATATTTGTAAATAAAAATAAATTCTAATTTAGTATTGTTTTATTATTAACTTATATTAAATTCAGTTTTATTCCAAAATGAATAAAATAAAAATCATCACTTCAGTAGAGTGTTATAATAATCGCAAAAAGTGCCTATAGTATAAATATGGTAATTCAGTTTAAAAAAATGGAGCGTCCTATTTGAATAATTCAAAAAACATTTTAATTGTATTGACGAAACGAAGTACTGATCCAATTTTTGCAAAGGCAGGTCTAGCGGTTTCAGAAATCGTTTGGTGGTCAAACTGAGATTTTAATAAGTATAAATTTCTATGGGTTTTCCGTTATCAATGGTTACCCGTAAGATTGCGACGCGGCGCTTACGTGCTTCCATGCTTTGTCTCTAAAACAGCTACGCAGCACGATTGCTTTGAAAAAGCTATAAAACTTTAAAGAAGTTTCAAATTTAAAAAAAAATTAAATTTTTCAAAAATCTATTGTTTTCAGTTTTCAAAATGTTTTAAAGCTTTTTAACTTCCCGTAGGGCAAGTTATAGTAATCGCAAAAAAATCGAAAATGAAAATTTTATGTATCTTTACGTTTCAGAGGTTTTTGAATATTTTGGCATACCTTAGAAAAAATGGATGTATGTGTGTGTGTGCGTGTGTGTATGTGTGTTTGGATACAAATTTTAGTCGACGATTTCGGGAACACAGATGAAGCGATTTGAATAATTCAAAAAACATTCGATTCGTATTGATAAGGGGACGTTCTGATTAGTTTTTGGCGAAGGCAGGTCTAGCCGTTCCGAAGATATGAAGCAAAAAGTGAAAAACAGTAAAACAACAGAACGGTGCGTCCGATTTGAATAAACATTTTACTTGTATTAACAAGATGAAGAACTGATCAAATTTTCATAAAGGCAGGTCTAGCGGTTTCGGAGATCTAGTAAAAAAAGTGAAAAAAAAAATGCCATTTGGCGGTCAAAAATGATCATTATATATATGCACATCAAATTATCAGATATTTTATAGAGATTTTAACAATAAGTATGAATTTTGTTTACATTCCTATGGGTTCCGTATCAATGCTTATCTGTCATACGGCGGCGCGGCGCTTACGCGCTTTGATATTTCGTATCTATGCAATTAAAGCAGTACGATTGCTTTGAAAAAAAGTTCAGAATTTCCAAAATTTTTTTCAGTCTTTTTTTTTTTTCAAAAAAAAGGAAATTTTTGTCCAAAAATTTTTAGTTTCCAAATATCTAATTTTTTCAGAGTATTTTATTTTCAAAAATGTTAATCTTTTTTAAAAAAAATAATTTTTGGTACGAGAAGTTTCAGCAATTTTCCTTAAGGCACGATGCCATGCGCCCTACTAGTTTAAATAATTTTTTTTTGTTTCGGGAAATTCCAGCAATTTTCTTTAATAATCTCATGCCCACTAGTTTATGTATAAAGATATTGGTGTAGCTATAATTCATACTATAAATATGTTCTAACAATTGGAGTTTTAGTCTTCCATGAATGAGCTTGATTCGGTTCTAAGATCGCGGTCGGTTCTTACTGCTTACTGATTACTACTTACTGCTTATCTTAACCGCCTGCAGAAGTTTAACATTGCGCACAGTTCAGGGCGAATTTGATTTGCTCTCTCTTGATTTCCGATCGAACCTATCTGTATTCAATTCTAAGGAACTGATGCCATTACCAATACGAATAACTTCGTATCCAACAGCGTTATACTTAGATAATAACGAGAGAGTTGGAGGAAACTGAATTTTTATTACATTTTTTAGACCCAACTATTCAGACTAAATTATATTATCAAGCTGAATTTTTCATTCATGCTATTACACTTTTCAGACTCCGTCGCTGTGCAATGGTTAAAAACTGGTCCAGAATTTGATCCAAATTTCGGTCAGCTCGATAGAATGCATTATGATATCAAATTTCCACTTTTTGCCAACATTATAGGATGCACATAACGAATACATATAGTTTTGACATGAAGAAGAAGAGTAATTGACCGTTGGGTTGCTCTCAAGAGAAATATATTAGGTAAGTGTGTAAATTAGGCTAGTTTTTAAGGATTTTTCAACCCCCTCTCCCTCTTGGTGATACCTGGTGATATTCAAATTTACCCCCTGTCAAAATGCAGAATAAAATTACGAATAAAATGGTATATAAATGGTTAAGTGTGTTCATATAATTTTCTCGAGATTTTCCAATTTTCCTGAAATTTTACGACAGCAACTCGCCTGTAGGCCACACCGTTCGGAATTCGAAGTTGCGATATATGGAGAAAAAACTAAGAATTTTGAGACCTTTCTAACGATGTATAATACTTTATATGTTTTCTTTACAGAAATATCGAATCGTGAGGAGTGTTGCTCCAACCTAACCGCACTTTGCATTTTGCCAAGTTAACCCACCAGGGGGTAACCCACCAAACATTACGTGTATTTTTAGTTACGTAAACTGTAAAATTTTTGATTTTTTTTTGAAAATGTTTGAATTTTTTTAAAACATCAGTTAAAAAATAAATACACGTGATATCTTACTATACACCTCCCTCCCCCACGTAATATTTTGTGATTTTTTGTCAAATCCCCCCTCCCCCTAAAAACCTCACGTGATTAATGGACGCCCCCTTGCTGCACTTTTCTTATGTAACTGATGATATTTTGTGAAAATTTCGAAAACTGCATTTTTGTGCTTATATAGTGAGATATTCACAATTTATATTTTCTGACAATCTTCGTCATTACGAAAAACTTACATCTTAAAATACTAAGTACTTCTCAAATGCATTTTCTGAGAAAATTTGATTTTTATACGTTTCGATATATGATCTTATATCATCATCAATTGATCAAACTGATTTTTTTCATAGGTACATTTTTGACAAAGATAACACTGTATATAACCTTGACAAGCAGAATTGAAACAATTTAATTTTTTTCTTGTAAAAATGTTTTTATTTACTTAATTTTCTCTTTTGTTTACTATTTTTTATTGTTTATACTTTTGCCAGAGTAAAGATTCAGTTGGTTCTTTTTACCCCATCCACGGATAAGCTTAAAATTAATTAAAATTAACAAAACATTTTATAAAACAATTAAATAAATTATACTTTAAAATTATAAATAATATCGTAAACTGAACAATAAAATTATACCTTAATATCGTAAAGTAAACAATAGTGCCCACAACCAAAAAACTAACAACGAAAGAAAATACTTTTGCTATGGATTTTCGAACATTGCCGTTTATTTCCCGATAGCAACATCGTAAAAATCGAGGTGACGGCTGGTTATACATCTTTTTCCCTCTACTTTCAAATATTGGCGTTCTTAAAAATCTTAACTTTACTTGTTTTGGTGCTAAACCTTTTTACAAGCGGCCCTTTTAGTCTTTCTCTACCCTATATATATATATATATATATATATATATATTATTATTATTATTACTACTAGATATTAATAATAATATTATTATTATTAGTATTCTGCACAAAAGAAATTTTGGGGTATAAAAGCGCATTTGATTAAATGAACTAATTTAATTATCTCCCTTTTGTTAATCATTGTTTCTTTCATTTTTATTTTAGAACTTGTAGTTTTTATATTATTTAAAGTTTGTATTTTTCCAATCTGTGTCTATATCTTTTATATATATTTTTCGATTCGCAATTCTCATAGACAAGTTTATTTTCCTACATGGAGGCCCCGACTAATAAATAAGTACGGTACGTAGGAGTTCTGAGATCGATAACACAATTATCCCAAGGCATTGGTATTTCTAAGGTTATTCCAAACGAAAATACCGAACAAATTTCCGATTTAGTACGTATTTGCGGTTCTAAGAACTTCTGGAACATGTTCACTCTGCCGAAGAAGAGTAAATCTTGTCAAATTGAACATTAAATTGTAACGTATTTTGTTTAATTATAGTAAGTTACAATCGTATTAAAATATTTAGTTATAACAATCCCAAATAAATCTCTAGTTTATATCCTTAACAGCATTCAGAATTTAATAGTCAATTTTTTCTTGGAAAGATCTTGGTATCTATATTTTCAACACTTGTCGTCACCGCTTGACATCAAAGTGTGTATGGAACCAGGATTTTTGGAGAAAGTAATAATAACTACTATCTTGTACTATCGCATTTTGAAAACATATACAAAATTTGTCTTACAATTGCTATTTTGGCCCTGTTACACATATTGACCTTCAGCTTATCAGAAAATCCTCGGTATAGTTTGTCTTAATTCCTGAAAATGAATCGTTTTTCGATTCCTGTGCAATTATTATGGTTGAGTGGTTAACGAAAGCCTGAGTATAGAACAAAATCATAGTTTTATTTGAAATATATTTATTCACCTTGCCCTTTATATTATATTATAAAAATCAAGAAACTTCATAATATAGATGTTTCTCTTCATTTTTCTATAAAATAAAATGGTCAACAATAACAAAGAAAATGCGCATCATCTGAATCTAGAATGATGAAAATACAGAATCCAAAAATATAAATTTTGAAAATTTTATGAAAATTCGGAAGTTTTTTGCGAACTGAAATTAATATTAATATTTTTTTTTTGAATTTTGAAAATTTTGAAATTTCTCAAAACTTTTTAATACCCACTCTATCGTCTATCAAAAATATCTGATTTTCGAATGCCAAATCGCATTTTTTAAAACATTTCTACTGGATTTCCTAAACCGCTGGACCTACCTTTTTAAATTCAATAAATTCTTCATTATGTCAATAAAAGTAAAATGTTTTTTGACTCATTCGAATCGGATGTTACGTCTTCTCAAGAACTGCTTTGTCA